GACCTATATGCTGCATTCAGTTAGCTCAGCCTGGCCTGTTGATTAAACCAGAATTAATTGAAGTCAAATATCACTGGCTGAGGAATTCTGGGAGTTAAAGTGCACATGTCTTAAAGTTGCCAAGATCAGAGAGCCCTGAATTACACCACTGTGTCAGGTGATCACATTTTAATTACACTGGCACCTTGGTACTCAACTGCTTTGAAAGTCATTGAATTTGTTATTCAGTGCATTTTCAAATGAAAATTTTGTTCTGGTACTCATCATTTGTATGGTACTCAATGCACAAGCTAGCTCAGGGGTCTTCAAACTTGGCCCTTTTATGACTTGTGGACTTCAACTCCCAGAATTCCTCAGCCAGCGTGCCTGGCCGAGGAATTCTGGGAGTGGAAGTCCACAAGTCATAAAAGGGCCAAGTTTGAAGACCCCTGAGCTAGAACTTGTCAGTGTCATCTGCCTTGTGACTCACTACATTAGTCCTTATGAAAAAAAAATTGTTTGTTATTCATTGTTTTTGGTGCTCATTGTGCCTTCTGGAACCAATTAAAGAGGATTACTGAGGTACCGCTGTATTAGGACTGAAGTTACATACAGAGGTAACATTTTATTATGGCCGAGCATTTATGTTTGCTTTCTTCACCTAAATACTTCACCTAGAATTGAAACCTAGAACACACTGCTGTTGTTGTTGCCAAACAGCCAGCAACTTTTTCTGGATAAGATGTGTTATGTTCCTTCTTGCTTCAAATGTTCTCCTATAATTCCTAAGAAAGCCTCCATCCAGGAGCTGAACGACTACAGATCGGATGCTCTGACATCCGTAATTATGAAAACCTTTGAAAAGCTAGCGGTGTGCCATCTGAAAACCATCATGGATCCCTTGCAATTCACCTACCGATCAAATAGATTGGCAGATGATGCTGTTTACATGGCACTACACTATATCTTACTCAGTGGTGGGATTCAGCTAGTTCGCACCAGTACGGCAGAACCGGTAGCTAATTTTTTGTTGCCCAGGCTCAGAATGGACTTCCGGAAGCGGCATCCACACAGAGAACCAATTGTTCACATATTTGAATCCCACCACTGATCTTACAACATCTTGAATCTCCAAGGACCTATGCACAGGTCCTTTTTGTAGACTTCAGCTCAGCATTCAATATCATCATTCTATTTTTCTCACTAAACTGACTCAGCTAGCTGTGTCTGACCACACTTGGTAAGTTGACCATAAGCTTTCTAACAGATAGGAAGCAGCATGTGAAGCTAGGCAAAATCACATCAGATACCTGTACAATTAGCAAAGGTGCCCCCCCCCCCCAGGGCTGTGTGCTCTCTCCATTACTCCTTTCTCTCTGCATATCAGGGGTCTTTAGACTTGGCCCTTTTATGACTTGTGGACTTCAACTCCCAGAATTCCTCAGCCCGGCTCGCTGGCTGAGGAATTCTGGGAGTTGAAGTCCACAAGTCACAAAAGGGCCAAGTGTGAAGACCCCTGATATACATCCACAACTGTATCTCAAAAGATCCCTTTGTTAAAGTACTGAAGTTTGCAAATGATACAACAGTCAATAGTCTCATTCAAGATGACGAATCTGTATACAGATGGGAAGTTGAACAGCTGGCTCTGAGGTGCAGTCAGAACAATCTTGAACTGAATAACCTCAAAAGAGATGATAGATTTTAGGAGAAGCTGCCCTATTCTATCACCTCTTACAATACTAGACAATACAGTATCAAGAGTAGAGGCCTTCAAGTTTCTAGGTCAGGGGTCTTCAAATTTGGCCCTTTTATGACTTGTGGACTTCAACTCCCAGAATTCCTCAGCCAGCTTGCCTGGCTGAGGAATTCTGGGAGTTGAAGTCCACAAGTCACAAAAGGGCCAAGTTTGAAGACCCCTGTTCTAGATTCTATAATATCTCAGGACTTAACACCTTAAATTAAAAACGTCATCAAAAAAGCGCAACAAAGAAGGTTCTTCCTGCGCCAACTCAGAACGTTCACACTGCCCAAGGAGCTGCTGATACAGTTCTTCAAAGGAATTTGCACCTCTATAATTGTCTGGGTTGGCACAGCAACCAAACAAGACAGACACAGACTTCAACGGACAGTTAGGACTGCATAAAAAATAATTGCAACCAGCCTGCCTTCCATTGAAGACCTATATAATGCACGAGCCTGAAAGAGGGCTGTGGAAATATCTACAGACCCCTCATATCCTGGACATAGACTCTTCCAACTTCTTCCCTCAAGATGACACTATAGGGCAGGGGTCTTCAAATTTGGCAACTTCAACTTGTGGACTTCAACTCCCATAATTCCTCAGCCAGCCAGGAATTATGGGAGTTGAAGTCCACAAGTCTTAAAGTTGCCAAGTTTGAAGACCCGTGCTACAGGACATTGCACACCAAAACAACCAGAAACAAAGGGAGCCCCCTCCCCATGCTATCACTCTATTAAACAACTAATTCCCACAACACTGTCTATGCCCTGGGTCTGGGATGTCAAACCACTTAGTAAGGCTGTATTACTTATTATCCTTGTCATCTGTCCTATTACCTATTTCCTCAGAGTCTTGTGACTATAACTTACTGTTGTATCTCATGATTTATGTTGATTGCTTTTTAGTATGCTATTATGATTTATGTTGATTGCTTTAATATCCCATGACTATCCCTGATGTTGTATCTATGATTTATGATGATTGCATTTTATGATTATGGTTATGATTATCCCTTGTTGCTCGTATGTACACTGAGAGCTTATGCACCAGAGACAAATTCCTTGTGTATGTCCAATCATATTTGGCCAATAAAGAATTCTATTATTGCATTATTTTCTTAGCAGCCTTGAGTTGCTATATGCACAGCCTACATTAAATCATATCTCAGTGTGTGTTGACAGCAGCATTGTACCCAAATAAGCCAATTTTGTAAGACAAAAGACTCTAGCTGGGAAAGTGGAAATTGAAATCCCGTCTGCCAGGATGAGACCTCAATGAGGCCACATACCAGTAGATTTACTTATGCTAGAGCAATGTTTCTCCAACTTTAAGCTATGTGGACTTCAACGCAACTCGAGTTAAAGTCCACACAGCTTAATGTTCCCAGGTTGAAAAACACTGTATTAAACAACTGTGAAACACCCTATACACCTCTATATAATAGAGATAGTCCTCAACTTATAATAGTTCAGTTAGTGACCGTTCAAATTTATGGCGCTAAAAAAGCGACATGACCTTTTTTCACACTTTTGACCATTGCAGCATCCCCACGTGATCAAAATTCAGACGCTTGGCAACTGACTCATATTTATGACGATTGCAGTGTTCCGGGGTCGTGTGATCCCCTTTTGCGACCTTCTGACAAACTTAAGTCCATGGGGAAGCCAGATTCACTTAACAACCATGTGACTAACTTAATAGTCGCACTGATTCACTTAACAACCATGGCAAGAAAGGCTGTAAAATGGGGCAAATCTCACGTAACAACTTAGCAACAGAAATCTTGGGCTCAAGTTGAGGACTATCTGTATAGCGTTTCTCAACTTGGAATTTTAAGTTGTTGGTTTTTTTTTAAATCTTTTTGGACTTGATGTTAAGTGCGGATGCTTCCACGCAGTTTGAAAACAATCCATATCCATATCCCAATTCAAAGAGAGTATGGTTTACCCATGAAGATTGAAACGGAGACAGCTCACACGCTCAAAAAGTTGTCCAAAAACTGCTTTTTAATAAGAGCTCCTTAAATTAAGTCAAGTATCACAATCAGCAGTCTTAGGAACCTGGCTTGGCTTTCTATACCGACCCACACCCCCTCAGTAGCAGACAAACAACAAACAGTATCCCCCTCCCCTTCCCTGCCTCTCTTCCCAAACAGCTAAAGGTTTGTTTTTAAAGACCTTCTTACAGATCAGCTCTAGGTGCTACTACTACAACTATGGGGCTCCATTTATGGTTATCACCCACAACACAATGGGACCTATGTCAAACACCAAAATGAATCGGGTGCACTTCTGGTGATGGTCCAAATGGAATGACCAAGCTGCCTCGGCCATCTCCCCTCCCCGAGTCCACTTCTCAAGTCCATCAGAAGCCCATGGTGCTTTTAGCCTGTGGTGCTGGGACAACATGGCGCCTTGGTCTTCTTCAGGCAGTCGAGCAGACGCTTCCTAAAGTATCTATCGCTGTATCTGAGTCCAGTCAGGTGTCTCAAAGTGGGGGGCACTTGTTCCTGGGTGATATCCACATAAACCGGGATGACCTTCGCCCCCTTGTGGTGTACGGTATGGACCAGGTTCCATTCCAAAATGCGCTGGCACCAAAGGTCAGTCATTGAATGGGAGGTCAAGAGGACGATGGCAAGTCGGCTGCTTTGGATGATCTCGTTCACGGAGGCCAACACCGGCGCCCCGGCCACGTGGTCCTGATGTTCAATGTAGCCATGGAAACCATAGTCAGCCAGCATCTCACGGATGGTGGTGGCAATGGCATCATCCTCCAGGCAGTACCAGAGGGAGAAATCGTATTGGAACGAAGATGTCATGGCATGAAATTATGAAGGAACTGCCGCTGGGGCAACCGGTGATTTTTTCACCCCCACCTCCACCCTTCCTGCAAAGCCCACTTGTCCCAGCCTATCTGTGTGTGAATTCTGTAGAAACTTCCCGTTGGCTTTCTCCAAAGTGAGGTCTTTTGTTCTGAATGTCTGTAGGAAGAAAATAAAACGAGGGCCAATGGAGCTGCGGAGACCTAAGGGCAACAGTGAATCTAGGGCCAAAACAATCAAAACAACGCTAACTGCACAACTGGGCATGTCAGAGTGAGCACAGCGAAGAGATCCAGGTCCTCAAAAGGCTTGTAGGGGGCAGCCGGCTTGGACACACATTCACAAAACCTAACACACGGACGGTGTTGAAGATGTGTGGCGTAGGCATGCTGAAATCACATCACAATTGCGAGTCTTTAGTTCAAGCATGGCATGGATCCTGTAGGGGGGAGGGGGGGAAACGCTGTGGTCAACTTGGCTGTGGTCACTTCCCCCAAAAACGTTATCTCACAAAGCCCTCTGCTTCATCTCTAAAATGCCCTGCTCCAGGGTTGCTCCAGCCAGTTTCAGCTCCTCACACTTCTCCTTGAGCAAACTGCAGGCCTTCTGGAGGCGGTGATTCATCTCCACGTAGGACTGGGTCAGCCGATAGAGGCGTTCCCTCTTGGCCTCTGGATCTTCATTCTTCGTTGGGGTGGGCAAATCTGGATGCAGGCAAAATGGGAAGGGGAGGTGGGGAGGGAGAAGAGAGACAGAGATAACAATAGAGGAGAATATTTGTAGCTCAGGGTTGAAATGCAGGGTCCTTGGTGCTCTCTGAACTTGGTGGCTTTCTTGCAGACATTTCATTACCAAACTAGGCAACATCATCAGTGCTAGCAGGGAGTGGGGTTTGCTCTCATTTTATATTGTATTGACGTGCCCTGTCAGTTTTCAGTGGTTATTTGGCTGGGCTGTTTACTATTAGCTTGGTTTACAGTTCCTGATTGGGGTACTGTTTACTTCTTGATTGTTGGTATGGTGTTAATCTTGGTGTTAATCTCTGCTCTCTACTACCACTGATGATGTTACCTAGTTTGGTAATGAGACATTTACAAGAAAACAACCAAGCTCAGAGAGCACCAAGGATGCCTCAGACAGAAATAAAGTGTGCTACCTTTGTGGAGCATCTATACCGCTTAATAATAAAGCATTGGGTTGGCACCCAGATCCTCCTAGTTTCACTATGACAAATCCAGGTTCAGCTACAAGGAATCCAGTCAAGACGTTCTAGAGAACAGTTGGGCTCAGATCCATGTTCTAATGCAGTCAGTTTCATGTCATAGTGCAGTGATAACTACTGTAAAATTGAAACCTGAAGTCTTTCTTTTAGGATTACTATATAAGATTTCCCCCCAATAAATCTTCCTAAAAGGTTTGGAACTTTATCACTGTATATGTTGGCCGTAGCGAGAATTTGATATGCACAGAAAACCCCACCACAAAAACATGGATGGAAAAGGTGAAACTAGCAGAAATGACAAAATTGAGAGAAAAGAACAGATCAAACGTCGTTTCTACCTGGAAGCCACTTCTGGACTTTGTGCTTGAGACAGCAAAAAAAAAGAACCCTTGATGTTGGGTTTTGCTGATTAATAGAACTGGCTGATATAGAAATGGCTAGCATTTGTCAAGTTGGTAAAGGTAAAAACTTGAGGCTGTAATTCTATTTTCTACTTTATACTATGCTGAAAAAAGTCAATGGTCTCTTTTTTTCTTTCCCACTGTACCTACATCTTTCTTTCCCTTTTCTTCCCTTTTTCCCCATCATCTTCACTTGTGTTTTATATTAAGATAATTGTAATAAAACATCTAGAAAGAAATTCTGGAGAACAGTTATTCCCCAAAGGAAACTTAATTGATTTCCATCTGGATTCAATGTAAGGCAACTTCCTCTATTTTCTAATATAACCTGAGCTTCATCCAAAACTATGAGAATTAATTTTTTTCTACAATGGCTAAATATTTACTTTCAAGCAAAGTATATTAGGATCAGCAGCTTCAAAAGGGCTGGAAACCACAGTATGCTAAGGCCACACTGACACTCAATCCACAATGTATTTACTTAGGTCGCAGAGGCCCCTTTAAGAGTTGTGGACTTCAACTCCAGACTCCTGAGACAGCGTGGAAGTCCACAAGTCATAAAAGGACCATAGTTCCCCACCCGACTTAGGATTTGTTTAAAAAGTCATAGAGGGCAGACTGCAGTTAAAACTAAGCTGCCTGGTTACACATCCTGCTAAGCTGGAAAGATCTTTAATAGATCTGCCTTATAATTTTGTCTGAGCCAGCCATTCAGATTCACAAACCATCTTTTGCAGCTTAGCACTGTCTGTAAACTCAAACAATGTTTCTAATATGCTGGGTGGGCAGGCAACCTGGATGCAGCTTCCTGGCAGACATAGACCAGCACAGCCAAATCTTTAACCAACCTTTCCATTTGGTGAGGTTGAAGGGGATTTTGGAACCCCAATTTGCCTCCTCAAAATTGGCAGGTCTTTTGGGGATGATGATGTAACACATGGGTCTTCAACCTTGGTCATTTTATGACTTGTGGACTTCAACTCCCAGAATTCCTCGGCCAGGCATGCTGGCTGAGGAATTCTGGGAGTTGAAGTCCACAAGTCATAAAAGTGCCAAGTCTGAAGAGCCCTGGTATAACAGAAACTTGCAAGCCTGAACATACATCTTTCCTCCCTCATCTTGACAGCCCATGAAATTAGAGAGGATCCCTTCTGAGACATTTGCTATGCCCCCATTCCTTTTGCAGGCTAAGCTGTTTCTGATCTGACCATTGCAGCTCTTTTGTCTCCCAAGGCCATTCACACAGACCATTACAATTTACTTTTTGCTGACAGATGGAAACTCCAGGCTTTTTCCTTTGCATTCAGGGCACTGCGTCTGCACCTTGGCACACTGTTTATCCTTTACATCAGAGGCCCCCAACCTTTTGGGCACCAGGGACCGGTGCCACGGAGGTTTTTCCGTGGACCAGAGGGGGTGTGGTTTTGTGTGCTGCCTGCATCCCGAGGATGGAGCTTTGCTTGTGCGGCCCGCAGACCAATGGCAGTCCACGGATCGGGAGTTGGGGAACCCTGCTTTACCTGCCTTTTCATCCACATTAAGCTTTGGTCTGGATTCTCATCTGCCATGAGAATTTTCCCGAATTATAGTCTGTATAACTATATACTATGCCAGGGGTCTTCAAACTTGGCCCTTTCATGACTTGTGGACTTCAACTCCCAGAACTCCTCAGCCAGCATGTTTGGCTGAGGAATTCTGGGAGTTGAAGTCCACAAGTCATAAAAGGGCCAAGTTTGAAGACCCCTGTACTATGCAATTATGTAAAGAAAACCTGGGGTAACCTGGTCTCCTCCCTGCATTTACTTGGCAAAGCACAGTGGACAACACCTGGGCCAGGATCTTCATACCTTCATTGGGCTCCACCAGGAGGACAAAAACGGGGTCGTTGGGCTGGGCACGCTGGACATCTTCAAGAATCTGTTCTGCGTTGGGGGGCTCAGGGCGTGTTGGGAGGACCACCCTCTTCTTGGCCTTTGAGGTCATTGCTTGGAAACAGGTGCCAGAGGGCACTGGAAGAAGAATTGGAGAGAGAAAGAGGCTTGGATCTTTGTTCCGATAAGGCTCAGATAGAAATAGACTGGCCTTCCAGGTCGTCCTCAAATTACAACCATTCATTTAGTGACTGAAGTTACAACAGGACTGGAAAAAGTGACTTAAAACCTTGACCCGTGAGCACAATTGAGCCCAATATTTCTGTTACTCAGTGAGACATTTGTTAAGTGAGTTTTGCCCCACTGTATGACTTTTCTTGTCGCGGTTGTTAAGTGAATCATTGCAGCTGTTAAGTTAGTAACCCGGTTGTTAAGTGAACCTGGCTTCCCCCATTGAGTTTGCCTGTCAGGTGGTGGCAAAAATTGATCACATGATCCCCCCCCCCCCGGGCTGCTGCAACCATCATAAATGTGAAGCAGTTGCCAAGTGTCTGAATTTTAATCACATTGGCCATGGGGATGCTGCAATGGTCATAAGCGTGAAAAATGGTCATACGTCACTTTTTTTTTCAATGCTGTTGTAATTTTGAATGGACACTAAATGAACTGTTGTAAGTTGGGGACTACCTGTATTTGCACCTACAACCACTGCAGCATTCCCACGGTCACGTGATCAAAATTTGGACACTTGGCAATTGTTATGTATTTATTTATTACAGCTGTGTTGTCCCAAGGTCACAGGATTGCCATTTTCGACCTTCCCAATCGGTTTCCAATAAGCAGTCAATGGGGGAAACCAGATTTGCATGAAATTAATAACAAAGTGATTCGCTGGTCTCAGTTGTGGTCGTAAGTTGAGGACTATCTGTCTATGTGAAAAGGAACTCCAACGTTAACTTACATAGCAGTTCAAGCTGAAGAAACTATTTAGTCAGGGGGCGTTTATTCCTCTGTACGAACTTAAAAAAAAATAAACCTTCCTCTTCAAAAACCCCTAAGGCACAGACAGTTTGGTGCAGTGGTTAAAGCATCAGATTCAAAATTAGGAGACTGCGAGTTCTAATCCTGCCATAGGCACAAAGCTAGCTGGGGGATTTTGCATTGGTCCCTCTCCCTTAATCTGAGGAGGCAAGGGCGACCTATTTCCAAAAATGTTCCCCATATAGCCATCAGAAATCCAGTCACACTTGAAGGTGTGAGCGTGCATGCACACACACACACACACACACACACACAAAGCAGCATTTTGAGCCTGAGGTAAAATACATCTGATCCATCCACTGATCACATCACTCCATGATCGACCCAGATCACCCTCATTGGAGAGAGTAAATATCCTAAATGAGCCAGGCCAAATCAAAGTATCCTCTGTACAGGTGTGGGGTGAAGGAGTACCTGCAATTTAAGAAACGAAGCTGGGGGGGGGAATGTTGCTGTTTCTAAGATGGCACCTGCCATCTGTTTTTTTAAATAAGTTACATAAGTTACATTTAAGAAGGATGAGCTTTTGAAATTTGCCTTTATAGTGTGCCTATCTTGCAGCAAAAGGTAGACATCTGAATTAAAAAAAATATGAATTCAGCTACTAAAACTGGATATTTTACTGTACTCTACATATGAATAGACTCTGTCTCCGTCTCTGGGGGATAAAAACCCATGCAGGTATTTCCTTCTGATTTTCTGTATCTAGAAAGCAACCTAACTATGTGTGTTTAAATAGTTAAATGAACCGACTAAAACGGTTTCAATTTAAACAGAAAGGCAACCTGATTATTTTTTTCCTTATATAACTTATTTTTTAAAAAAAATAGATGGCAGGTGCCATCTTAGAAATACCAGCATCTCCCCGCCCCCCCCAGCTTCTCTGCATAAACACAAAACAGAATGTTGCTTTTAAAATAACAATTATTTTAATCCACTGAAAAGTTTTTAAAAAATGCTTCTAGAAGGGACTGTTATTGGTGCAACTGCTCTGCTTCCAAACATGATTTTTACAGCAGGAGGCATAACACTATCTTCTATGAAATCCATGTTTTAAACATTGCTTCTATCACTTTTTTTCTTTTAAATTAGAGAGGAAGAAATGGAATAACATACACAACTTTTTGACTGTCGGTGCTAGAAGTTATCCATTTGAAAACGTTAAAAAATGGTTTTCCCCTTCAGAAAAACAATAGTTTTATCAAATGCAAACTATGCCCGATTTAATTAATTGTAGGTAAGGAGGAAAACATAATAAAGAATCAAACAAGGTGCCTGCTATGCAAACACTTCATTAACAGCCAGCTTCAGGATACACACAAATCTGTCCCCCCAGAATCACACTTTTGAAATAGTGGCAAACTGCTGAAAATCAAAAGCATCGCGATGCGTTTTTTTAAAAAATTAAAATAAAATCAGATGCATTATGCCTCCCATAAGCTGAAAACACTTTTTATGTAAAAGTTCCTTTTACCACAAAACAGGGCTTCCCCCAAAATCTTGACTGTGCCCAAGCAAAAAAAGCTACTGCATCACTATCACACCCCTTGCAATCCTCTAAAACAAAAAAAAAATACTATAAAAAAAAGGGGGGGGAGAAACAGTTCCTATTTTATGTTTTAAAATCATTCTTCTTGGAGCCCATAATCTGCCTGCTCCAAGTTAAAAGGACTATTGCCCCACAGAAGCAATTAATTAAAATTTGATAGCTTTTTTTTTTTAAAAAAAGAAGAGTCTTATGATTTTTATGGGAATTTTAGATATTCTGTCACCTGTGCACTCACTCCTTAAAAAGCCTATAAAACACAACCACAGGGCTTTTCAACCAAAAGTCCCAGGGCAACCACCCCACAAATTATCTCAGTTAATCCAAGCTCTCCTCCACCTACCAAGAATGGTTTGCTTCCATCTCAGTTTTGTCTCCATTCAGCACCTCCCTCCACTTCCACAAGGCTAGAAACCACAATCAAAACATCCTTTGTTTGTCAATGCAGGTGGGAACCAGGAGGAGTTAAATTTAATTATCTTGGTCCCTCAGCTATCCGTGCTCTCTCTCGCACCATCCAAATGTTACTGTGAAGCTGCAGTCCCATCTGCAGGTGCGAAGATGTAGTTGTGTAAGGGGGGGGAGTGAGATGCATTTAAAGAATGAAAAGGGTTTTTTTGGAAGGGGTGGGGGAACAGAAGGCTGTGATGCTGTGAAATTCTGTCCCCCCCAGTTTAAAAAAGCCCTCATTCCTGCACTGAGCAGGAAGGACAGCCCATGCATCCCAACCACGTTCCAGAATGTTCACTACTGGCTCTGCAGTCCCTTTCGCCAGGGATGGCTATGCAAGATGAATGCAGGGGGTGGGGGGGAAGGAGGATGGGAGGAAGATACAGAATACACCCGTTCTGCAGATACCACACCCACTCTATTGCAAGCATAGATACACACACACCCTCAGAGCCTGGATTTCTCCCTCCAGTAGTCATGCCGTAGACCTCCTTTTCCTGATCCATCAGCTTCCTGGACCCCCATGGCACATTACTCCCCTCACCCACCTAGTCCCCTCCCTCTGTCATAGCAGCCAGCTTCAATCCCCTTCCTCCATTTCTACCAGAAGCAGTTTGCATCAAAACCTTCCCTCTCCTTAATGCCTTGCAGTGTGAATTGAAGAGGGGGGGGGGAATTTTCACATTTCCTCTCCACCTGGCTGAATTTCCCCTTTTTCTTTCCTTTCTCATCCTCCCTTATCTCCTACTTCTACCTCCTCCCCCCCCATGCTACACTATCTAGGACGTGAACACACCCCACCTGATTCAACCCCCCCTCCTCCCTCCTGGAAGGCTTTGCACCTGTCCAGCCCCCACCCCAGGTGGCTCTATCCAGGGTCACCTTCTCCTTCAGACCTGCTCTCTTCTGCTCCTCTGGAAGGATCCTGAACCCCTCCCCATAACCAGGTCCACCCCTTCCCCTCCACCAACAGACTCCAGTTCTTCCTGCTCAATAAGCAACACCCCCCCACCCCCAGCTCCCACCATATTCTCACCGCCCAGTTTCCAAGCCAGCTCTACTCCTGGGTCCCCCCGGGAGACCCTCGCTCTCCCACCATTACTTCCTCCCAAGATCCAGCTCCCCCGATGCCAAGCCTACACACGCCCTACCCCAGTCCCTTTCCCGCGTCACCCCTTCACACGAGACGGACCATTTTCTCCCAAGTTCCCCCCTCCCCAATTCCCCCCTCCCCTTCTCCAAGAGGACGCCCGCCCCAAGAGGACCCACAACCCCTTTCCTGCACAGCCCCACCTCCCCCCCCCAGATCAGGCTCCCCTAAACTTCCTCTACATTTACAGACACCCCCTAACGTTTACCCCTCCCCAAATAACCCCCCCTTCCTCTTCTCACCTGCTCTTTCTCCTCCTCTCCACCTGATTCCCTCCCTCCCTCTTTCCCTTCCCCAAACCACGCCCCACGGCAGGGCACGCCTACCCATTCTCCCCTTTTTCCGCTTTCGGAATCCCTCTTTCCGGTTTCTGTGCGAACGTGGCACATGTGCAATGTTGAACCGGGGGGGGGGGGAGCGCTCTAACCGCCCCCCCGCTCCGAAGATTGATCTCTGTCGTTGTTTCTTCTTGATTTGCAGGAAAAGATGAACGTAATTCAGGAGGAAACAAACGGGGGGAACTTCTGCATTATTTAGTTCCTATTTTGCGGAAATGAAATCAATTGCCACAGAAATTAATGCACAATTAATGTTTCCCATTCTAAGGGTGGATTCTGATCTTTTATAACCATTGAGGGTTAGGTAATGGCAGAATTAATCTAGGGTGTTTAAAAACATGCAGGAGAGCTGTTTCACACCTGTATAAAAAAGTGGCAATCACTACAGGTAGTCCTCAACTTATAACAGTTCATTTAGTGACCATTAAAAGCTGCCCATGTAGAAGTGTAGCACTTGAAGATGTCTTGGAAAGGGGCATTTGCTCTCTGAGCCTTCTTTCTGGCCCCAATTTTGCAAGTGCACACAAACACATCTTGATCTGCAACTATTCATTGTATGCCTGTGAGAAACTAACTGAAAATTATACAATGTAGATTCCATATACAATGTAAGATTTCATGAATACTTCCTTTGTTCCTTAGAAAGGGCTATAAAGACTTCAACTCCCAGAATCTCACTCTCTTAAAGTTGCCAAGGTCAAGGAATACAGGAAGTCCTCAACTTATTAGCACAAATGAGCCCAATATTTCTGTCACTAAGCGAGATGACTGCTGAGTTTTGTCCCATTTTGTCTTTTCTTGCCACAGTTGTTAAGTGAATCTCTTCAGTTATTTAGTTAACACGGTTGTTAAGTGAATCTGGCTTTGCCACTGACTTTGCTTGTCAGAAAGTCGCATAAGGTGATCACATGACCCTGAAACCATCCTAAATATATACCAGTTGCCAAGCTTCTGAATTTTGATCATGTGACCATGGGGATGCTGCAACGGACATAAGTGTCAAAAACGGTCCTAAGACACTTTTGTTGGTGTCATTGTAACTTCGAATGGACACTAAACAAGCTGTTGTAAATCAAGGACTACCTGTACTCCTATAATCTTTAACCAGTAGGCATTACGAAACTTGAGACAACAAAAAATCTAAGAATCAGAGAGAGTGGAGCTTTTTATTGGTCATTATTTGAAGAATAAGAATTTTTTTTTTAAAAAAAAGAATCCCACTTCCTAATACCCCAAGCCCTTCCTGAGATGGCTTCGGTTTCACGTCTTAGTAGTCGCCTCAAAATGGCTTTGTCTTCCAATACTTTTTCCCGAGTTTTGTATTTTCTTTCCGGAGCAGACGCCAGTATTGAATAGAGTCTGGGTCCAGTTCTTCCAACTTCTTAGGAGGCCCTAGATCCATATTGAAAAGCCTGGGATCGGGAAACAGAAGGAGGGAAACAACCATAATAAAATAAATTAGAGTAAAGCAACATCTGGAAAAGTTTATTAAACTTTCTAGAGACGAAACTGACTGACTGAAATGGTGATCAAACCTCTATACCAGGGGACCCCAACCTATGATCCGCGGCCCGGTACCAGGCCATGACCTCTTGGCCACTGGGCCCCAGGAACAGCTAGCGAGCCCTCCCCCACTTGCGGTAGCAGCCCCATTTGTGCATGCGCAGAGACGCTAACACCGCCGCCAGCGTCACGTGGGCACCAGTGGCCCGTTTGCACCAGCACGCGGATGCTCGCCCACGTGCCGTACCTGGCGTGGCCCGCTTGTGCATGCGCATGCATGCTAGCACTGCCCCCATGTGGGTGCGGGGCCATGCGTGCGCATATTTCCCTGCTCTAATCTTTTCTTCCAGGCTGCCAAGCTGGAAAGGTTGGGGAGCTCTGTTCTATACAGATGGTCCTTGACTTATGACCACAACTAAGCCCAAAATTTCCATTGCTAAGCAAGGCAGTTATTGACTTTTGCCCCATTTTATGACCTTTCTTGCCCCAGTTGTTAAATAAATCACTGCATTTGTCAAGTTAGTGAAAGGATTTTATTGTGCTTATGATTTTAGTATGTTTAAGTTTGACATTAGCATTTATTTTATATATAGTAACCATTTTATATTGATAATTATAATGTTATCATGTAATCATTGTTTTGTTATTTTGTAATCATTATTTTATAGTTAATTGCTTGATCAGATGCTTTATATATATATTGGAAAAGTAAGGGCTTCATGCTTTAGGTACAGGTGATTGCTTATATGAAAAGAGCACAGTAAGGGGAGGGGGAAAAGGAGTTACAGATGGAGCCTGGGTTGCTGTGTATGAGTCATCATCTAGGAATTGTTTTTTTGTGCCATCTTATGCCTGGTACCAAGACCTGATCTCTTTGTTCTGAAAAGGTATAAAAGGTGGAAAGACATCTTTTCTGGTTGTTGCCTTCATCTCTCTACCAGCCACGAAGAGAGATGGGGTCACCCAACTCTGTTTTGATCAAAATAAAAGTTGTTTGCTTGCTGAAACCTCGGCTCAGGAGTTTCTTTGGCTCTTTTAAATTCCTGAGTAATGCTGGGGCAATTGTGAGGTTAAGTGGAAAACCTTACATTAGTAATGTAATTAAGTGAATCTGGCTTCCCCATTGACTTTGCTTATCAGAAGATCTCAAAAGGGAATCACATGACTCCAGGACAAGCATCCAAATTTTGATCAGGTGACCATGGGGATGCTGCAATGGTCATTAGTATGAGGACTGGTGCTATTGCAACCTTAAATGGGTCACTAAGTGAATGATTGTAAGTGAAGGGCTACCTGTACCTTCCTTAGTCACTGTTCTTTTATTTTGAATCTGGAAACCACCACACATAAATATTTTGGTTTATTCAAAGATAATGGCCAGATATTACTGTTGTAGCATATGTGAAAGGATAACACCCTGAAGGGAATGAAAGGTGTTTAGAAAATGTGTGAGTGTGGAAGTTTTGCATGAGGCAGAAAGACAAACACAAATGGAGTAAAAAAATTACAAACAAAGGAGTAGTGGGAAGAATGGGGTCAACTGGAAAGCAGACCTTCAGAACTGATAGTGAGGCTCTAGATCAGGGGTAGGCAACCTTGGCTTTTATGACTCGTGGACTTCAACTCCCAGAATTCCTGAGCCAGCATGGCTCAGCTTGGAAACCTCTCCCTTTCCCCTCAGCATGGCTGGCTCAGGAATTCTGGGAGTTGAAGTCCACAAATCTTAAGAGAGCAAAGGTTGCCTACCCCTGCTAGATCAAGGCTGGGCAATTATGGCCCCTTTACAATCTGTGGACTTCAACTCCCAGAATTCCTGAGCCAGGCAAGGCACCGGAAAACATGATATATGACCGGTTTTCACGCTTATGACCGCTGCACCATCCCCAAGATCAGATAATCAAAATTCGGGTGTTTGACAGCTGGTGTGTATTTATGACAGTTGCACTGTCCTGGGGTCACATGATCATCTGTAATCTTCCCAGCTGGCTTCTGACAAGCAAAGTCAATGAAGGCAGCCAGATTTACTAAACGACTGCCCAGTTCATTTAACAACTGCCGTGATTCAGTTAACAACTGTGGCAAAAAAGGTTGTAAAAAGGGACAAAATTTACTTAACAAGTACTTTTTTTAGCAACGGAAATCTTGGTCTCAGTTATGGTTGAAAGTCAAGGACTACCTGTATTGTTGTTTCTCTAATCCGAAATATTCTGGAACATCCACTTTACTCGTTCAGTCCTGGCCTGCTGATATGTCTGTCTTTGCAGCCATAAGGACTAGAAACTTTATTAAGAAAGCCAATGCTCACAGAGTCTGGAAATCGGGACCCAGTACAACTTTTGATGTACAGTTGGCAAAGTGTTTTCAAACCTGAACAAGAAGTGACATTCAGAAGCAATGGAAATTTGGCCCAGGTAACCTTCAATTTACAATTGTAATGAAATCCAAATTTTCCATCATAAATCAGGATGGTTGTCAGTCCTTCATTTACCCAGAACAGCACAACAGCAAAGAGAAGCAAAAAAATTCTGTGGCCTCAATCTCATTCCTCTTTTGCCTACAATTGTCACCAAAAACGGGCCCTGCTCACCATTCAGGATACTCGGAGTCTGGCTTCAGCACTACATCTGTCCCTTCCTTGTAGATGTTCACCCCCATAGCATGAGTGGTGAGTTTAACTGGGTCCTTGCATATTTCAGGGGCTTTTAGTTCTTCTTTGGAAAGACCTTTCACTTTGCC